CAGTGAAAGGAACATTTCCATTCACAATATTACCAGAAATCACTTAAGCATAAACCCAATTAAAATTGTGGGAAACTTTTATGAAATACTTTAAAAACCTCACTTAAGAGCATTAAAGAAGAATTGATCAATGTACTACATTCAAGAATGTGAATACTCAGTATTGTAAAGAGATAAATTCCCTCAAATTTATTTATTAAGTAATTTTTTTAAACTTCTCAAAATGATTCTAAAGTTCAATGGGAATACTAAGCATGTGAAAGTAGCCAGGAGAATCCTAAGCAAAGAATTAATGATGAGATTTCAGGGTCATAAATTTTCTACTTACACATTTCCAAGTTTTCATTTTTTGTATTGCTTTTGTAATTACAGAAACAAAACAGTAGCAGGAGCTATAATAAATTATCCATGAAAGAGACTAAAGAGAAAGCGTGTGTGTGCGTGTGCGTGTGTGTGTGTGTGTGTGTCCATCCCTTGGGAAGGAAGGACATAAATATTATAATGAAGATATTGCTACTGACTATATAGAAATAAAAAGGATTATCGGGATACTGTAAACACCTGTATGCCAACAAATTGATAACCGAAGTGAAATTGACAAGTTTCTAGAAAGACACAAACTACCAAAGGTGATTCAAGAAGAAATGAAAAATCTGAGTAGAAAGAGATTGGATTAGTAATTGAAAACACTTTCCACAAGGTAAAGCTCAGGCCTAGATGGCTTACTGGCAACTTCTACTAAATGTTAAAGAAAAATAAATACCATTTCTTCACTTAAAAAAAAAAAAAAACAAGAGTGAACACTTCTCAACCCATTTTATGAAGTCAGTATCACCCCTATTAAAAAAAAAATCTGTAGACCTATATCCATTATGAATATAGACAAAAATTTTTTGACATATTACTAGCAAACTGAATACAGCAGGACATAAAAGGATTATGCACCATAACCAAGTAGAATTTATCTCAGGATGCAGGGTTGGTTTACCATCTGAAAATCAATGTACTATATCATACCAGTGGATACAGGACAAACACTAGGTGATCATCTTAGTAGACGCAGAAAAAGATCATCTTAGTAGATGCATCTTAGTATTTGGCAGAATCTAACAGTGCTCATGATAAAAATACTCAAGAAACTAGGAACAGAAGGAAACTTCCCAAGCCACGTATAGGGCATCTACGAAACCCCCCCCCAGCTAACATCATACTCAGTGGTTGAAAGTCTGAGATCAGGACCAAGACAATTCTATTTGCAATAGCATCCAAAAGATTTAAAATACTTAGGGGGGCACCTGGGTGGCTCATTTGGTTAAGCATCTGCCTCCCACTCAGGTCATGATCTCAGGGTCCTGGGATCAAGCCCGACATCAGGCTCCCTGCTCAGTGGGAAGTCTGCTTCTCCCTCTCTCTCTGTCTCTTCCCCTCCCGTCATGCTCTCTCTTTCTCTCTTTCTCAAATTAAAATTTTTTTTAAATGATTAAAATACTTAGAAATATGTTTAATAAAAGAAATACAGAACTTATATTCTGAAAATTACAAAACAAAGTTAAAGAAGACTTAAATGAATGGGGGGTGGCATCCCATGTTCATGGAGTAGAATATTTAAGATTGTTAGGATGACACTACTCTCCACGTTTCCTGCAGATTCAGTGAAATCCTTACTAAACTCCAGGCTGGCTCTCCCCTCCTCCCCTAAATTAACAAGCTGATCATAAAACTCATGACAATTTGACAGATCCAGAATAGCTAAAACAGTCTTGAAAAAGAACAAAGTTGGAGGACTCATGCTTCCTAATTTCTAAATTTACTACAAAGCTATGGTAATTACTATGGTCTGAATTTTGTGTCCCTCCCCCCAAAGGAGGCAGTATTAGTAGGTGGGGCCTTTGGGGGTACTTAAGTCATGAGGTGGAACCTTAAAGAATGGGATTAGTATCTTATAATAGAGGTTCCAGAGAGATCCCTAGCCCCCTCTGCTGAGGATTTGTAAGAAGTCTGCATACCCACCAAACTGTGCTGGCATCCTGATCTCAGACTCAAAACTGTGAGAAGTAAATGTTTGCTGTTTATAAGCTACCTGATTATTGTATTTTGTTATAGTAGCCTGAACAGACTTAAGACAGTAATCAAGACAGTGTGATCATGGCATGAGGAGAGACATACAGATCAATGGAATAGATTGAAGGACCACAAATAAGCTCTCACATTTACAGGGAATTAATTTTCAGCAAGGGTCTAGATAAGTCAATGGGGAAAGAATAGTCTTGTCAACAAATTGTGCTGGTACAACTGGATATCCACCTGCCAAGGAATGAACTTGGACCCCTTCTTCACATCACACTCAAAATAGATCATAGGCTAAATGTCTAGTTAAGAGTTAAAAGTGTAAAAAAGCTAAAAGTATTAAAACCATTAGAAGAAAATATAGGAGTAAATCTCTAACACCATTGGTTAGGCAAAGCCTTCTTAAACATGACACCAAAAGCACAAGCAACCAAAGAAAATAGATGCATTGAACTTTTCTCAAAATGAAAAACTTTGTTGCTTCAAAGAACACTATCAAGAAAGTGAAAACCCACAGAATGGGAGAATATTTGCAAATCCTGTATCTGATTAGAATATCTTATCTATAGATATCTATATATTGAGAATAAAGAATTCTCACAGAAAGGGGCAAATCACCCGATTAAAAAAAGGGCAAAAAATTTTAAATAGAAATTTCTCCAAAGAAGATTTACCAATAGCTAATAAGTACATGAAAAGATGCTCCAAGTCATTAGTCATCCGAGAAATGCAAATTAAAACCACAGAGATGAAAAACCACAGAGACAGACAATAACAAGTATTAGGGTGTGGAGAAATTGGAGCTCTCAGATGCTGCTGGTGGGAAAATGCAATAGTGCAGATGCTGTGGAAAACAGTCCAGCACTTGCTCAAAATGTTAGATGTAATGCCTCAGAGGTACCCAGCAAGAGAAAGAAAATCTAGGTCCACACCACACCTTGTATGGCATTATTCATAATAGCCAAAAATTGGAAACAATCCAGACGTCTCTGAGCTGATGAATGGATCAAGAAAATGTGGTTTATCCATACGGTGGGGTATCAGTTACGAAAAGGAACGAGGTACTGATTCATGCTACAACATGGGTGAACTTTAAAAACATGCACAGCGGAAGAAACCAGTCACAAAATGCCACATACAGTATGATTCCATTGATATGAACTGTCCAGAAGGCAAATCCACAGAGACATAAAGTAGATTAGTGGTTGCCTAGGAGTAGGGTGAGGGGTAGTTGAGGAGTAACAGCTAATGGGTATGGAATCTCTTCTGGGGGATGAGGAAAATGATTTAAAATTGATTGCAGTGGCTGTGCAACCCTGTGAATATACTAAAAACCATTGAATTATATGCTTTAAATAGACGAATTGTATATGAATTATATCTGATAAGGCTGTTGTATAAAAATATACTGAGTGAAAAGTTTGCAGAACAATATATATGAATATACACATAAAATAACATGTTTGTCATAAAACACTGTATTCTTAAAAACTGGCAAAATTTGTGAAGCGCTGGAAAAGTGACATTGGTATAATTTCCCTTGCGATGGTAGCTTTAATCATGTAACAGAGCTGGTGACAAAATTTCTTCACAGTACCTGGTGCCACCTTGTTATTAAAATAATAACATTTATTATGTTCTCTCTATGTGCCAACATTGTGCTAAATTATTTTTTTTTAGGATTGATTTATTTATTTTAGAGAGCAAGAGAGTATGAGCGGGAGGGGCAGAGGGAGAGGGAGAGAGAATCTCTACTCTTAGCATGGAGCCCAGCGATGGGCTCCATCTCATGACCTTGAGATCATGACCTGAGCTGAAACCAAGAGTTGGACGCTTAACCGACTGAGCCACACAGGTGCCCCTGTGCTAAATGCTTAATATGCATTTTTTCATTTATGTTTCACAACGCTGGATGGTGGCCCCATATTTTCTATCATTCTCCCTTGCTTTCTGTTATCTAGCATTTGCAAAAGTGTGTTATTTATCTGAATGTCCAAAATGCAGTTCCTTTTGTTGCTGTTAGCAGTAGCTATAAAGTAAATATTGTAGGTCTTTTTTTTTTTTTTTTAAAGATTTTATTTATTTATGTATTTGACAGAGAGACACAGCGAGAGAGGGAACACAAGCAGGGGGAGTGGGAGAGGGAGAAGCAGGCTTCCCGCGGAGCAGGGACCCTGATGTGGGGCCCCATCCCAGGACCCTGGGATCATGACCTGAGCCGAAGGCAGACGCCCCAAATATCGTAGGTCTTAATTTGAATTGGCATTCGTGTGATCCTGTGCAGTCGTAAGAGCATATTGATAAATTTATCTCTGTATGTTTAACATTTAAAGTTTAAATTAAAACATATTACAGTTGATTCCCAATTGGAGGAGAACATACTTTCTACTTACTTGTCAGGTTTTTTGTTTAGCATAGTACTAAACTTGAAAGATAATCATTGGCAAAGATAATTTCTAGATTTTTTTTCCCATTGCAAATATAGACTTGTGTCTCAGTCGTTTGTGCTGCTATAACAAAATACCATAGGCTACATGGCTTAAAGAACATCTATTTCTCACTGTTCTGGAGGCTGGAAAAGCCTAAGATCAAGGCACTGGCAGATGTGGGTCTTGGTGAGGGCCCTCTTGTGGCATATAGAGATGGCCACCATCTTGCTGTGTCCTCTCATGGAGAGCAGAACGAGAGCAAGCTTTAGGGTCTCTTCTTGTCAGGGCACTAATCCCACCACGAGGGCCCCACCCTGATGACCTCATCTAAACCTGAGCACTTCCTAAAGGTCCCACCTCCAAATGCCATCACATTGGGGTTAGGGCTTTGACATTACCTGGGGGCCAGTTAGGGGAGGGGGCAACACAATCCAGTCCATAGCAACTAATTGTGCTGAACATCTTCTCCATAAATGCTAAACCTAGATTTCTGTTTGTTTTCAGTATTATGTGCCAAGAACCTTGCAAAGAAAGACTTCTTCAGTAAGTACACACCTGCTTTTGCTCTCTTACAATATTACTATTCCTCACATGTCTTCTGCAATGTAAACTTTTTTAAAAGCCCCTGGGTGTATTCCCCGGAAGAGTGCTGCCCTTTGCCGAACAGATCCATGGTCTGACCAGCTTCATTTCCGAGCTGACTACACTGCGGAGGCTCCTTAGCTGCTCGGCACGGAGTTTATGACTCATACGAGAGCTCGGTCTCCCTCGTTCCCTGTTCCGGCCGCACCCCGTTTTCTGTCTTTCCACCGTGAATACATTGCTTTCTGCTGGATGAAGTGCTCTCAGCTCACATACACACGAGACATTTTTTTCTATAAAATAGCTGGGTTTGAGTCAAATTGTTAGTCAAATTTTAGAAATTAAATCACATTTTGAAAGCCTCATAATGAAAGGAAGTGTAAAAAAAAAAAAATAAAAGTGGAAAACATAGAATGAGAGGGCCCTCTTCTGCAGGAAGACATCGCCCCTTAGCTTAGAAAAATCCACTTACCATGAAGTAGGTGCCCGTAGCATGAATTTTTCACTCTTTTGGTCCTCACAAGAGTGCGGCTCTGTTCTTAAGTGGTATTATTCACACTTTAAACTTAGGCATACAGGCTTTATTCAAGTAGCTAGGAAGCTCGGGAGTAGTGGCCCCCATCCAGGTGTATCTTTAAAGCCCTAACGTTGCCACCTCTCGGATTATATATATATCCGTGTGATTCGTAACGCCAGCCTTCAGGAACCTACCTGATTGAGACTTGGTGCACACTTGTGTCCGTAGATAAACTAGACAAAGATCAGTAAACAAGATTTCTAGGTATTATTTTTTAGAAAGTTTAAATACAATTAATTATAGACCCCTTTTCTTCCATTTAATTAGCACACTTAGTGATCATCAGAAAGGAAATTTTGAACTTAAACCTATTTTTTATCGTTTTCTAGCCTCTAATAAATCTGTCATACTGGGTTGCCTCTCTTAGGAAGCTAAGTAGCAATAACTTATTTTGCTGATCAAACTAACCCTAAATTAGAGAGTAAAATGCACCATGGTAATCTTCACTAAATTAGATGATCTTGAAGCTCTCTGTAGTCTGTAACACCATGTTCTGTGTCCCATGGATGGAGCTGTAGTCTCATCCAGGTGTGGCTGTCCCCTCTCCTCTAGGACTCCCTGATCCCTTTGCAAAGATTGTGGTGGACGGATCTGGGCAGTGCCACTCAACGGACACTGTGAAAAACACGTTGGACCCCAAATGGAACCAGCACTACGATCTGTGAGTCGAATATTCTATAAGCCATTTGGGGAGCCCCAGGAAAGTAGGTGTCTAGCTTTTAAGAGAAGCATTTAATAATAAAGATACAAATGATTTACTAATTTCTTATTGATAACAAAAGTGGATGGCCAAATGGATACATACTGCCTAATTTTAGAATCCGTATACTTGGAAGTTCTTGTGTTTGACATTTTCATGGATTTTTATGGTTTGCTTCCGTAACTGGGGTTTTCAAACTTTTCTATCTCCTGGCCATGTTAACAGGAAAAAAGGGGCCATGGTTCAGGTCCTCTATATGCTACTCTTTTTTGTTTTTTTGTCTTTTCCAGTGAAACTCTAAACCTGGTAGTAGAGCTTTACTTTATTATTATTTTTTAAGATTTTATTTATTTATTTGAGAGAGGGAGAATGAGAGATCGTGAGTGGGGGAAGAAGAGTAGAGGGAGAAGCAGGCTTCCTCTGAGCAGGGAGCCTAATGCGGGACTTGATCCCAGAACCCCGGGATCATGACCTGAGCTGAAGGCAGACATTAATTAATTAATTAATTAATTAATTAATGCATTATTTTGGGGGCGTCTGACTGGCTCAGTCGGTGGAGCATGAGACTCTTGACCTTGGGGTTGTGAGTTCGAGCCCCATGTTTGGTGTAGAGATTACTTACGAATAAAATCTTTTAAAAAATGCACTATTATTCATATCTGTTAAGCAAATATGTGGTCTATATATTTCCATCTTTTAAAATCCCACTTTTTAGTACAAGTAGATCTTCTACAAGAGTAAATACAGTTTGGTGTGGTTGAATGTCTTTCAGCCTGTGCAACCATCAGACAATTTCTTACCTTCATTCCTAAAATGGATTGCAGCTTGAAAACCACTGTTTTATATCCACCTACATTTTTGTGTCCCTGCTGAGAAATTTTCACTGAAGGAACCTGGAGTGATTCTTGGTTTTGTATGATACAGATTGCACTGAGTTTGGGTGGGATTTTTAGTAACTGGATTCCAAGACTCATTGCAGTTACACTCAAGAATCCCAAGTGACTTGGAAAGTGGTGGTCCCTCCTCATCCCGAAAGCTGCCCTCTGTGGTTGATTTGCATGGAGAGTAGGTGGGGGTGTGATGTCTGAGTTAGTGCTCTGTAGGGTGCTTCGGGTGGATCTGAGGGTTTCTAAGTAGCCCTTGGTGCAAATTGGTATTCTACATTAAAGCCTGACTGGTGGGAATTTAGGAATCCTCTTATTGTTCTTTGGAACTATGCAAATATAGCAAATCTCTGTTCTCATAGTATCATCACGATGTAGTTAGGTCCATTTGCTTCTTCGAAGTGAGTCAATGTGTATTTACTGAGTCCCTGTTAGGTGTGGACTAGAGAGCCCCCATCACGTGAGAAGGACTCTTTTGTACTAACAAGTCAGTCAGATTAAATCTCAGCGGGCTATCCTAATTCAGAAAGAAAATTAAAAAGGAGTTTGTGTGCTTTCAGGTATGTTGGGAAAACGGATTCTATAACCATCAGCGTGTGGAACCACAAGAAGATCCACAAAAAGCAGGGGGCTGGCTTTCTGGGCTGCGTGAGGCTGCTCTCCAATGCCATCAGCAGATTAAAAGATACCGGATGTAAGAACCAAATGCTTTCCTGCCTCTCAATACAACTGAAGAAGGCTTATGAGGCATCTTTTTTTTTTTTTTTTT